CATCGTCTTTTTTCTTTTCCTGTGGCCTGAGTGGGCAAATTGTAAAGGAGGTTTTTTTTGTAGTTTCATACGAGTAGTTGCAAAACTCCCATATTTCAGGGATTTTTTTGTACTTAACCCCAAAAATTATTGTGGTTAATTTGCTGAGAGGAACTCTGGTTGGAACCATTACGAAGACAACTTTTGACTGGTATTTGGCAGACTGTCTTTGAGAAAGGATACGATTGATAATTTCATTGGTTGGGGGATGTTAAAGTAATAAGTAATTTAGGTTGTATTTTGTTAGAAATAGTTTGATGATACTGTTGGTAGTAATTTGTTTGCTTGGGTGACTTACACATCCATTTAAACTATTTTCGTCTTTTCATTTTTAAAATGAGCCATACTTTATGGAACCTTGGCAACTAGGAAACAGTATAGTCATAAAGTGAGTGAGGCGGTAAGACCATAAAGTATAGAATTAGAAATGACCACATCCGGGAAGATGGTTGGAGTAGCACAAATTGAAGATAAAACAAGAGAAAATCGGTTAGGATGATTTCGACATATGCAAAAAAGACCTTCAGATGGGAAGAGTGACATAGTGCGCCTTGAGGGTAACGCTAAGCGGAGAGGAAGACCAAAATTAAAGCGGGAAGAGTTAGTAAAAAAAAATATGATAACTTGTGCTTTGACTGAGATTATATTGCGTTTTAGACAGAGCGGAATAGAAGCATACAATTCATGTAGCCAACTCCAAGTAGTTGGGAAAAAGGTTTGTTGTTGTTGGTTCAATGAGGACATTGTAGTATAACTATTTTTCTTTTTTCTTTTTGTCAATTTTGGTATGATAATGGGTATCAGTATTTTATATAGAGTTTTTATTAGAATTTTTATTATGTTACAGTTACTTTTATTTTAGTTTCTTGCTTCTGTTCGGATCATAGTGTATTCATGGTAGCTTCAAAGCCATTTTGATGTTTGTTGATGATTGTCATTATCTTTTGGTTTTAAATGGAGATTATAGTGTGAATTGAACTTTATTCGTTTAAGTTTTGTATTATGTTAGGAATTGAAAATGGAGATTGTAGTTTATCTTATGTTGCTTTAGAAATATAAATTTGGTCTAAAATAGGAAACACTGGGATGTTATGACTAATGGTAATTTTGGGTTTAGTTGATGGCTTTGGTTTTTAAGATGTTCAGATTTTATTGATTATTTATGTTTATTTTTATTTTGTTGTGGACATTTGTTGATTGATTTATGAAGGTGATGGAGACAAATTATTTTCCTTCTTGTGAAAAGAAAACATGCTTCTTCTTTCATATACCATTGTCACCGATTTGTATGTAGACTTGTGAGCATTTGATATGTTGATTTGAGTGGGTTATGTTGTTTTAATCTTAAAACTCATAAATCTCCATTCAATTTGTTGATTAGCTTTGGCCATGGATATTCAATAGAGTTGTGAATTCAAATAATAGTACAGCTTCCTTGTGTTGTTTAAAAAGACACAAGGAATTTTGTAGGCGGTGACAGGAATAATGGAGAGACGAATTCAAGTATGGGTTTTTTGTTGTAATGTTTGTGGGAGGGAGGGGTTTGTTAAGAATAGAATACGATGATTGTGTTATTTAAGTAGTAATGCATTTTGTAATAGTAATAAAAAGGAAGGTTGGAAGAAGCAGTGATTGTTGATGGGTTTGGTGGAACGAACATACATATCAATGATCCCATGACAGATATATTTACCTGTGTTGAGTGGGAAGTATAATGAAATATGGACATATTGATTTAAGTGGTGAGGTGTCCATGAAAGTGAGTTACTCTCATGTATTATTTCTGAAAGAAGACCGTTTATGGGTATACGTAATGATTTTGTGATTACTACAATGCATATGGTATGACGGGGACTTGGGAAAAATGATACAGTTGAGGCAACAACTTCCCTCTCGTTTCCACCACTTTACATAATTAATTATACGTTAATGGGTAGTCACATGTTTAGTATGTAGATAAGTTGTTGGCTTAGAATCAATTTTGGGTGAACTTAGTCTCGTGCTAATTTATATTGTGTGATTAAAACAATATATAGGTAGCCTATACATTGTTGGTTGCCTTCAAAAGTGACCAAAGTGTAGTATCACTAATACTCCCACCAATTCATTTCATCGGAATCTTATAAGACGGGCATTAAGGGGCCTAGTTTGAAATTATTTTATTTTATTTCCAATTAAATGCTTGACATCTCTATTTCAACCATACTAAATTGGCTTTTAAGTACATTAAATCACAATGTACCAACCCTATTAAGTGAGGACAACATTTTAGGGGTAGCGACTACTAATATTGTTGAGAAAGCAGAAGTGAGATGACTTATATTAATTATATGGTATTGTAAGGTTTATTTTTATTACAATAACCAATATATATATATATATAATTTCTTATAAAAAAATATATATAGAAAAAGGGGAGGTACTACACCTATAAGCAGGGCGGAGCCAATGCATGCCCGGGGCAAGCCGCCCATCCCCTTATATATGTATCAATTTTTTATTATAATTCTTTATTATTATTATGTAGTTGAAATTTTAGTCTGGTCTCCCTAAAATTTTTATTTACTAAAATTATATCTTATTTCCTTTTCTTTTTTTTTTTTTTCTGGCAAACAAAGACCATTACATAGATACATTATTACAGGCATTCATAACAAGGAGTATAAGAACCCCAATGTACAACCAGAACCACATCAAATTGAAGATGCATACACAAAAACGTAGTCACACTGTACACAACAAAAATTCCATGACAACGGTACGGCACACGAACCCATTCAGACAAAGCAGCCATGATATCAAAACCCGTAGGAGGCCCCATGGGGTCTACTACTTTTAAGGTCAACCATGGATCAAAAAGTCGACTTGGGCCGAAGGATAGATCCAACGAGGCCCAAAAAACAGAGTTGGGTCCACACTAGAAACTGGGCAAGAAAAATATTTCAACCCACGTGATAATGATCAATGTCTCCACTACAGGTATCGATGCGCAAAACTCCAGTCAAAGCTTCCTTTGCACGCCTCGCTGGCACCGTAATGGTGAAATTAGACTTCAAAAGCTGATCAGATGACAGCCTGGGTGGGTCCCCACGCCTTCGAGAAAGATCTGAAGACGGGAACTGGAACAGACTGAACCACGCCGGCGACGAAACGTCAGTCCTCATTCTGGCGACAATAAAATAACACCGGCCACCCAAGATATCCCCAGACCATTCCTTACTTCACCAACCACTTCTTCTTTTTGGGATTCAACCAACTAACCTTGTCATCAACATTCAATTCTTCTCAATTTAAGACAAGACATAATTTGCTCTACCAGCAGTGTTGTGTTGGTATATATATATATATATATATGGTTTGAAGAAGAGTATTTATTTCCTTACAATAAATTTCTTAATTTAATATTTATAACTTATTAATATACTAACATTCTAACACTGTCCACTGGCTCAATCTCACAAATAAGTAATAAACAATCACATAAATATCACACACAATTTGACAAATAATTCCCATCATTTATCAAAAAATTGCGCTGTTCCATTAGTCCTCCTTAATAAGGAGTTAAAATGACAATATTGTCCATATGTAAAATGATTTATATTCCAATATTATATTATACTAATAAAAGTGTACGGTATTGTTTTGGCCAATCAAATAGAGGCCGGAGCTCTAACAAAATTGCACAAAATTATAGTAGAGTATTAAAACCAGAGGTTAAGTGCCAACATAAACCACCCACAATCAAACATCAACATTATGAAGTTACCAACTTCCAATTAAATTCAAGACACAGATTTAAATCCTCAGGGAGTTAAAAAAAGTGTTAAACAAATAATCTCTCCTATAAATCTTCAACTTCTTTCTACTCTCGTGGATACAAATATATTTCTATTATATATACTTATTTGTTTAGACATGCAGCATGCTTATGATTATGGTAGGACTTTACATGAAATTTTTACATATGCACCATGCACCTATATATTACTTTGAGAATGTATTACATTTCTTTCAAAATGTAACACTCGCTACTTTGAGTATATATACTTATTTATTTGGAGTATGCAATACATTTATTTTAAAATAATGAGCATTGCATTCTTGAAGTAAAGAGTGTTAGAGTGTTTGGTATTTTGTATTTTGATGAAGAACAAAATACGAAAAGCATGTATCAATTTTGTATAGATTTAAAACTACTTGAACTTTCGACATAAAATTGTTAATTTCCAAATAAATGCTTGACAACTCTATTTCAACCATACTAAATCATGATAAATTGGCATTTAAGTACATTAAATCACAATGTACCAACCCTATTAAGTGAGGGCAACATTTTAGGGGCAGCGACTACTAATATACTAGAGAAAGCAGAAGTGAGATAACTCATATTATTTATATGGCATTGTAAGGTTTATTTTTATTACAATAACCGATATATATATATAATTTCTTATGAAAAAAATAGAAAAAAGGGCAGGTACTACACTGGGCAGAGCCAATGCATGCCCGGAGGCCGGGTCAAGTCGCCCATTCCCTTATATATGTATCAATTTTTTATTATAATTTTTTTTATTTTTTATTATGTAGTTGAAATTTTATAGTATGGGCCCCTTAAAATTTTTATTTATTAAAATTATATCTTATTTCCTTTTTTTTTCCCCCTCTTTTACTCTTCAAATTCCTATAATTTTATGTATGTAACTTTTTTATCTTTTCTTATTTACATTTATTGTTGTAATTTTATAAACTCAATATGGTATATGAGGTGCGTCAGGCGCGCCACGTCAAAATTGTACCCACCCAATCAAATATAATATATTATCTAGTTATGAATAATTTTGCAAATAGGTGAATCAACTTTTTTTTAAATGATACATTGTCATTAATCGGACACACCAATAACTTAGAATACCCAGCGCACTCAATATCTACTCGCCTAAAGATAGCACTGTACAACATTGGTACATGGTATATCTATCTAAGAATTTATAGGGTTGTAGCTGGATCTGTTGGAAAATGGGGGTTTAGCTTTAATTAATACATATACACACACAGCAGCAACACCGACTATCTAAGCAATGAATGAAGGTTTCCTGCACTTGGTATTATATATATATATATATATATATATATATATATATATATATATTGCCAATATTTACTCCATTGCTAGTAATGTTTTCCTTTTCTGCACCCATCTTGGGATTTTTCCAACAATTAATACATGCGCTGCCCCTTTACTCTCTCTCTCTCTCTCGTTTTCTACCATTCCAGCTCCTTCAATTTAATTCAACTCTCCTCCTCCTCTGTGATCCACCTCTCACCCTAATTAAGTCAAGCTTTAAAGTGAACCCATCTCTCTCCCTTTGGAACTCCTCTTATATGTGTGTGTGTTCGTGTAAGTATATATAATGGCCTCAGAGGTTAAAAACCAACAATCACACCCACTTCAACAAGACCATGTTAGTGTTAGCAGTGATGGTCTAGTAACCGATTACAGCCTACCCAGTCTCCGTCAAACCATCTCGGTCACCCTTGATCTCTTCCACCCTTCCTTGCATACACAACTAGAAAACCCTTGTCGTCTTCATACTCCGAAGTTATTCTTACTCAAGGTATATATATATATATATATATATATACATCTTAATGTGATCAAGTTTATAATATATAGTTGGATTAATTAAATTGTTCCTTGATATTATTAATGTCCATTTATTTATTTAATTCTTTTAGGCTGCTGGTGATCAGAAGAAGATATATATATATATATATATATATATATATATATATATATATAATCTCTTACACGGAGTTATAGCTAGTGTGCGGCAAAAGAGGTACTTGGAAGCAGGCACAGGCACAACCACCATGAGCCACAGAAATGGGAAAGAGTCAAAACTTGAGTTGAAGCTAAATTTATCGCTGGCCGGCAGGGCTAACCCACCCCCTGAGTCAGCATCATCAGAGTCTCCGATATCACCGCCGCCAAATTCATGCGTCTCTTCAGAGATCAACCAAGATGGTGACGAAACCCTCAGTTACACCACCAATAGCCCCGAAGCCACCTCCATGATGCTAGTGGGTTGTCCACGCTGCCTCATGTATGTTATGCTCCAGGAGGAGGACCCCCGGTGCCCCAGATGCAAGAACACCATTTTGCTGGACATCATCAGTCAGAATGCCACCCCCACCGCCACCACCAGCACCAAGAATACCAAGAAAGCTAACTAGCTAGAGTAGACTAATTACTCTTTCAAATTTCTTATTTCTATACTTAATAATATTTGGTCATCAAGGACTTTTTGTTTTTTGCCTTCAGGTGATTGTGTTATTTCTACTCCACTTTTAGCTTGTTAGGTGCAAAGTGGAGCTTTCAATAATACTTTTTTCTCTCTGAACCATTCGGTATGGGCAATTGGGTGTGGCAGTTTAGTAAGAATTCTCTCTCATTTGAGAGAGTATATTTTATAGGATATAGTCCGCACAATCTTTACGCTATTGCTATTTTTAAATCACAGCATCCTTACCTCCTACTTTTGGTGGTTCACGTATCTTCCCGTTCCCTCCTCAGGAAGACAATGTATATGACCTTAACTTCAATGCCCAAATTTTCTTACAAAATTTTTAGGTGTCCTAGCCTTTTGTGAGGGTTTTATCATCAATCACATCATAGCCATGCGATTAGATATACGCACACAGGTGTTAATTTACATATGTATGTGTGTAAATTACAGGTAGGAAAGGAAAGGAAAGGAAAGGGTTTAGTTGGGTTGTGCTTGGTAGTTCCAGCATTGAACAAAAGGACAGATAACTATATTAGATTGAGAGACTATTAAAAACAAATGAATGCAAGAGTAATTGAGACAGTTGAAAATAATGAGAGGGACATTAAGTCAGATGATAAATACCAAATTTAGTTCTCATCCTCCCTCGCTATCTCTTGTTGCCAATTTGGCAACCCTCTCCTCTCATCTCCCCTCCCCCTCACGTTCACCTAGCTACTCATTCAATTCAACACACCTTCATTTTTTCAACCTCCTCTTTTACTCCTCTCGTTTACACATGCAACTCTCTCTCTCTCTCTCTCTCTCTCTCTCTCTCTCACACACACACACTACTATTGTTGAATTTTTTAATACAAAATCAAGGCTGTGTGACGGACCTATACTGTGACCGTGTTAGATAAGGAATCGAAATGAATACATAGACATAGTTGTGTCAACCTAATCTTCTAAATCAGCCTCAAAAACTCAACTGAAAAATCATTTCAGTGCTATTCTAATTACCTGTTGATGCTCAAGCTCTCTACACAGCAATCCCAATCCAAAGTGTCAAAATGCCGAAATCACTGCAAATTATGTCATAAGCTATTTAGTGTTAAAGCCACAATCAAAGATCCCAAGGCAAATACCCAACCTGAAAACAAAGTCCTTATTCAGACATCCTTCAAAAAGTAAATAGAGGGAAAAACAAAGAAGCAAAATTTAAAATAAAATAAAATAAAATCAATTCCAAGGAAAAAAAAAAAAGTAAAGCATATTATACAATTGTCATCATTGGTTCGTGTAAGATGATATGGATTCATTTCTCCTCAACATGCATAAACAGCAACTAAACGGAAAAATCTCACCATATTTTGTTTTAATTTAACCAAAGGGAGAAAGCAGAAAAGGAAAACAATAAAATAAAACATGGTATCATTTGTTCCATCAGAATATCCGTATATTACTATATTAGACAATTAGTTGGCCAATGTGGAAACCAAATTTGGGTCCACCTTCAACGCAGGCATTGTATGACAGTATCCCTTTAAATTACATAGATAAAACAACATAAATCCATCATCATGTGAAGAGCTCCAGAATATCATAAAATCCCATTAACAATTTTATAAGCATTATGGACATTACCCATCCATGATTGCAGAATACTGCGACAAATTTCTTTCTGAAGAGTGTGCCACTGCTTTGCATCCCAAACATTTAGCAACCACGTGTCATGCCAAGATAGTTAATTCTGGAACACTGTGTTTATCTTAAACCTCTGTTGTTGAGGTAATTGACGTGAGCTGTTAAGAAAATGGAAATAATTCAAGTATGTCGGCCAACAATGCACCACTCCAACTTTTGATGTCAGATAGGGACCCGGTGGATTCTTTGATCTTCCCTTGTTTCTCTGTTCCTGCAAATAAAAAACCATTAACCCTAAATCAGATGAAAGGTGCAAAGAAATTAGGGGGGCTTTGGGCGAAAAGTAATTAGCAACAGAACCATAACTCTCTTTGGCATGTACCCTAACAATTCTCGCCACAGAGGGGAGCCACATGTCAACTACAAGACTCCATCCTAATGTGTAAATATCTAAAACTCTAGTATGTACTATAGACCAAATTTAATCCCTTAATGAACATAATCACTTGTTCAGGCCTACATCGTGTGTATAGTTTCTTTTTCTTCCTTTTTGTCGACAATGGTGGTTTCAAATCTCTTAGAACACACCATAATCTACCACCGGGCACATGCAATCCTCCAGTCAGGTGGCTCCAAGGGATCAGTGTTATCAAAGGCCCAAGGCACACTAAGGCACTATAGGTCCTTTGGAGCTTAGGTGCAAGGCGAGGCGCACGCCTGAGTGAAGCGAGGCGCACAAATGAAAATTAATTATTATTAAAGCATATTCATATTCCATATTAAAGGCGCAAATGTTGTCAAAAGCACACCTGGGCACACAACAGGCACAATTGTTGCGCCGGTAGCCTAGGTGCGCCTTTAACAAAACTGCAAGGCATTCAAACTCCTAACCTCCAAGATGTGAGGTGAAAACCATGTCATTAGGTTATATCCCCTTGGGGTTTCTATTGTTCTCAATTAAACATTGCAATTTTCACTTCTGCACAGTATGTGCAAGTTCAGTTCCAACTACTTCTCGTTGTTGTTGAAATTTTAACGCTTCTACTTTATAGCCATGTAAACTGTTCATGTGGTTGTTCGGTCAATTCCTAATGCATGACTGCACCAACTTAAAATACCTTACGACATTTTCTGGTATGATGAAGCTAATTAGAACCATCTCCTTGTTTTGGAAATTTGACATAATCCTGAACATGAAAAAAATCTTTTTCTCGTTCATTTATGAGTTTCAGTATAAAACATTAAGGTCCATAACAAAAGAGTTATTGTAGCCAGGTGATATAGGATAGAATCAGAAAGCTCAAATTAATATGGCTTACGTATATGTTTATGGTGGGAAAGCTTGTATCTATTCAGAATGGTCTTACAAAGGTTTGTCAACTTTGTTGAACTGAAGGGTTAGAATTGGGCTTTCTCACCTTATACGGCACTAGGGCCATGTTTTTAAGGTGGAAAAGAATGAATGGAATGCCCTCCCTTTCCTGTGTTTGGTGACCTTAATTGAATTTGGAATGTTTGTTCGCCGACAATTCCCAAAAAACTAGAATGCTAATTCCTCTTCATAAGTCAAAGAATGGGCAATCCATCCGCCCAAGTTAAAATCTAGCCCCCTCTTCCCATAAAAAGTACAAAACCCTCATCTTCTCCATGGCATCTATGTTCTTTTCTCTCTTTAAATCCACCATCCTCCAATTACCCATTGCTTCGCATGGTTTTTATTGGACATGGCCTTCTATAGATTAAAATTTTATAAATTTTGTATATAATATCATTTATTACTACATAAATTATGTTATATTTTAGAATAAATTACACCGAGTACTCCTATAGTTTGTCTTAATCACACAGACCTCCCCTATGGTTTTCAAAATTACTCTGACCCCCCTAAAACGAAAACCTTGCAACACTGACCTCCCTTTTTAAGGGTCAGCGATGGTCAGCAACGGAAACTGTTGGTGTCACGCACTTAACATTACTAGAATGTCAGTATTGCCCTATTTCGCATTAGAAAGACTATTTTAACTATCATATGTGATTATAAATTACCAAAACACATTCACCTTTTCAAATATAATCGTTATAGCTTCTTTATACATACGTACATAAATACATACATACATATATATATATATATATAAGTAGAAATATATAAAAAGAAGAGAAAAGAGAGAATTGCGTAAAGGCTTGAATGAGATGAATTACTCATTCACAGCTCTAGTATTTATAGATAAAATGAGCACATGCTCATATTACAAGAAAGGAAACTAAATCAAATCAAAATCAAATCATAACTTATTCTAAAGCATATTCTATGGCATATTCTATAGCATAGTCAACTCTCTACTATTATGGTAAGTCATACCATAAATCGTGGTATCATATATATGCTATTATATGCATAGTCAAATCTCTGCTATTATGGTAAGTTATTCTATAAATCGTGGTATCATAAATGCTAACAGTCCCCCTCAAGTTGGTGCGTGGATATCTGAAACGCCCAACTTGGACAATGCATTCTCAAACACAATCTAGCTGACGCCCTTTGTAAGAATGTCTGCAAGCTACTGAGAGCTTGTGACAAATGGAGTGCAAATTTGACAAGATGATCTTCTCTCGAATGAAGTGACGGTCCACCTCTATATGCTTAGTCCTGTCATGCTAAACGGGATTTACTGCTATGCTAATGGCAGACTTGTTGTCGCAGTAGAGTGAGAATGGAAGCAACACTGGAAGGCACAAGTCTGTCATCAAGGTTTTTAGCCAAAGCAACTCACCTACCCCAAGAGCCATAGCCCTATACTCTGCCTCTGCACTAGATCGAGAGACAACATCCTGCTTCTTACTGCGCTAAGTAACCAAGTTACCACCAATAGTGGTACAATAACCTAAAGTAGACCTCCTATCTGAAATTGAACCTGCATAATCAGCATCTGTCCAAGCCTCAACACATAAGTAACCATGATTAGCAAACAAAATACCACGGCCTGGACACCCTTTTAAGTAGCGAAGAATCCGAAAAGCTGCATCAAGGTGTGGGGCACGAAGAGAGTGCATGAATTGACTCACGACACTCACGGCATAAGCAATGTCAGGTCGAGTCATGGATAAATAGATGAGCTTCCCCACAAGTCGTTGATACTGACCAATATCTGACAACAACTCCCCCTCAGAATCAGCCAACCGATGATTCTGCTCAATCGGAGTATCAGCAGGACGAGCGCCAAGCTGACCAGAAGTAGAAAGCAAGTCAAGAACATACTTGCGTTGAGAGATGAAAATGCCAGTCTTAGAGCGAGCCACCTCAATGCCCAAGAAGTACCGTAGGGGACCAAGATCCTTAATCTCAAACTGACGGCCAAGATAGCTCTTAACCTCATTAATTCTGGTAGTATCATCGCCGGTAAGAATAATATCATCGACATACACAATGAGAGCAACTGTCTTACCGCCTAAATGACGTAAAAATAAGGTATGATCAGCTGCACTTTGATGGAAACCAAACTTGAGCATAGCAGTGCCAAAGCGATCAGACCAAGCTCGAGGAAACTGCTTGAGGCCATATAGAGAACGACGAAGACGACATACCATACCAGAATGAGCAGGAGAACGAAAGCCCTGAGGAGGAACCATGTACACCTCCTCCTGCAAATCACCATTAAGAAAGGCATTCTTGACATCTAGCTGAAATAGAGGCCAAGATCGAATTGCAGCAACGGAAAATAATACACGGATGGTATTCATCTTGGCAACAGGGGCAAAAGTCTCTTGATAATCTATGCCATAAGTCTGAGCATAACCCTAGGCAACCAATCGGGCCTTGTAACGAGCAACTGACCCATCTGGATTATGCTTAACTGTAAACACCCAACGACAACCCACAACCTTTCGTCCAATAGGTAGCGGAACCATGTCCCAAGTCTGATTTTTCTCAAGTGCTTGTACTTATTCTGTCATAGCATCACGCCATTGAGGTTGTGCTAGTGCATCTACAACACTTGAAGGAACAGGAACCGAGGCAACAGAAACAAGAAAACTCCGATAGGAGTGTGAGAGAGCATAATCAAAAACAAAATTAGAAATAAGGTAAGTACAAGAACGCTTATCCTTTCGAAGAGCAATGGGGCGATCATCAAGCGAAACAATAGCTTGAGAAGGCGGAGCTAGTGCCGAAGGAACAGGGCAGTCGATCATGGGAGTAGAAGCTTGTACCTGTTGTCTCCGACTATAAACCTGTGAAAAAGGAACAATTCCCCCTGCTGGAGGGGTATCACGGGGAGGAATTATAGAAGAAGAAACAGGTAATGGTAGAGGAGTTGAAGACGGAAGAAGATGATCATCCATTATATTCAATGGGAACCATTCACTCTGAGAACCAACTGAACCACTATGGTATGGTGTATGCTCAAAGAAAGAAACATCCATAGATATAAACCGCCAACGACTGGGAGGATGGTAACACCTATAACCTTTTTGAGAGTGAGAATAGCCCAAAAATACACACTTCAAAGCCTTGGGGTCAAGCTTTGTACGAGTTTGCCCCAACTGCTGAACAAAGCACACACACCCGAAGACTCGCGGAGGAATCAAAAATAGAGATGAATTGGGATGTAAGATTGAGAGTGGGGCTGCAAAGTTAAGAATCCTAGAAGGAGTCCTATTAATGATGTAAACAGCGATAAGAACTGCATCTCCCCAAAATGACTGGGGAACATTCATGCCAATGCAGATTGCTCTAGCTAAGTCAAAGATGTGACGATTCTTTCTCTCAGAAAGACCATTTTGTTGAGGAGTTTTAACATTAGCCAGCTGATGCTCAATCCCAATTTTTGTACATAACCGTTGTACCTCCCCATAAGTGTACTCTGTACCCTGGTCAGATCGGAATTTTTTAATGGTACGACCATATTGAGTTTGAACCATTGTCATAAAATTTTTAAAAATGGTGTATACCTCATTTTTGGTTTTCATAAGATAAACCCAAGTAACACGACTATGATCATCAATGAACAACACGAAATATCGAAATCCAAGACTAGAAGTAACTGGGCAAGGACCCCATACATCTGAATGAACAAGATCAAAAGGTGTTAAAGCAGATTTATTACTACTAGCAGGGTAATTGGAACGAACATGTTTAGCCATATGACATGTTTCACAGGATAAATCTGACACTGCCACGTTGCAAAATAAGGAAGGAAATAAATGTTTCAAATAACCAAAAGAAATATGTCCTAAACGCATGTGCCAACGCATAAGCTGGGCTTCATTAGATGAAACAATATTAGAAAATGAAGCTGAATGCGCTTGAGGTGACAAAGGAGCATCCAACAGGTATAAACCGTCAACTTCACGCCCACTACCAATCATCCGTTTCGACACCAGATCCTGAAAAATACAATGAGAGAGAAAGAACATTACACTACAATTTAATTGTTTGGTAACACTACTAACAGAAATAAGATTTGTAGTCAACTTTGGAACATAAAGTGTATTTGACAAAGTTAATGAAGGAGTAACTGATATGTGACCCTTCCCAGCAATGGAAGATGGAGAGCCATCCGCAAGGCGGACCTTGCGTTGGCCAGAGCAGATACTATAAGATTGGAAGAGTGAGGACATACCAGTCATATTGTCTGAAGCACCAGAATCAATGATCCATGGTGTTGACACCAGATCCTGAAAAATACAATGAGAGAGAAAGAACGTTACACTACAATTTAATTGTTTGGTAACACTACTAACAGAAATAAGATTTGTAGTCAACTTTGGAATATGAAGTGTATTTGACAAAGTTAATGAAGGAGTAACTGATATGTGACCCTTCCCAGCAATGGAAGATGGAGAGCTATCCGCAAGGCGGACCTTGCGTTGGCCAGAGCAAATACTATAAGATTGGAAGAGTGAGGACATACCAGTCATATTGTCTGAAGCACCAGAATCAATGATCCATGGTGTTGAAGATGTAGATACGCTATGTGCAGACGCAATAGTACCTGAGTGGGCATAAGTGGAGGTTGGCTGAGATGATGCCTCCATTTGGTTGAAGAATTGCTTGAACTTGTCCAAATCAGCTTGAGTTAAGGTAACTGTGGCAGAAGATGTACAGGCAGGGTTGTCAGGAGTTGATAACGAGACTGGTTGTGTAACGGAATGTGCAGAAGATCGAGGCTGTTGTTTCTGTTGCGGTGGACGTCCATGTAGAGCATAACAACGAGATTTGATGTGACCAATTTTTCCGCAATGGTCACACCGTCCACGTTGTCGTCCAAGAGGAGGACCGATGGTAGTGCTCTGAACTGACTGGGATGGTGAAGTTCCTGAAAGGTTGGGAATCTGAACTGCTATAGCAGAACGATCAACAGAAGCAACACCTAATGGATGAGTCCGGCGGCTCTCGTCTGACAACACATAGGAATATGCATCCTCAAGAGTAGGGACTAAAGATAAGCCCAATAAATGAACACGAGCATACTCAAACTCGTCGTTCAAACTCGTCGTTCAACCCGGCAAGAAACTGAAACACTCAATTCTGCTCCACAATTCCTGCATATAAAACTGCATCATCTGGATCCTTCCAAGACTGGAAGGAATCATAATATGACATCTCCTCCCAAATAGCACGAAGCTTGGCAATGTAACCTGAAACTGTCAAGTCACTCTGAGAAATCCTGGTGATATCTCGCCCCAGTTGGAAAATTTGTGCATTATTCTGCCTCTGAGAATAAGTACGTTGAACTGAATCCCAAATTTGCTTAGCAGTCTTCATAAACATATAGCCAACAGCTATGTTTGGTTGCATCGAATTGACTAGCCAAGACATAACCATAGCGTTATCTGCAAACCACTATGGATATGCCTTCTCTGACTCAGCTAGCTCTTTCTCAGAACCAGTAATATAGCCAATCTTGCCTTTGCCACCAATGAACATCTTGGCAGACTGTGCCCAAATCAAATAGTTGAAACCATCCAACTTCACTGTGGTGATTTGAAGTCCTGGATTTTCTGATGAGTTGGTGGGAACAATGGCACCACCACCCACAGAGCGTGAGTCAAGAGAATTAACAGTCGAGGACCCTGAATCTGCCATAATCTGTCATACGATAATAAAAAGAACTCTAAAAAACACCACAAATTCTGTTAATAAATCAAAAGGACTCCTCAGACCATTAACAATGTCTCCTCAGACCATTCCCAAAAAATCCAAATACATACCTTTTTTTTAAGGAGCGCTGCCCGCTTACATATAGCCAGACAGCCTCCTTCTTAATATTCGGAACCTCTTTGTAAACTAATTTGTTTTTACCCAAGCCCTTCTAGGTGTTGGAAACCAATTATCCCAATTTCCCCAATCCTAGATGAGTGAAAAAGAAATTGTAAAACTTAAAAATACCTGTTTTCAATCACAAAACAGCAACACAGAAAAACATGTGTAGGCAACGTCACACGATGTCACAAACAGCCTAAGGTAGTTGTCACACAAGTAGCAAGGCTGCTGAAAGGTGTGGAAAGGTGTTGGCTCTGATACCAAGTAGAAATATATAAAAAGAAGAGAAAAGAGAGAATTGCGTAAAGCTTGAATGAGATGAATTACTCATTCACAACTCTAGTATTTATAGATAAAATGAGCACATGCTCATATTACAAGAAAGGAAACTAAATCAAATCAAAATCAAATCACAACTTATTCTAAAGCATATTCTATGGCATATTCTATAGCATAGTCAACTCTCTACTATTATGGTAAGTCATACCATAAATCGTGGTATCATATATATGCTATTATATGCATAGTCAAATATCAGCTATTATGGTAAGTTATTCCATAAATCGTGGTATCATAAATGTTAACAATATATATATAACAAGAACAGTTGCTTGACATTCTTCATGGCTGGCTTCTCGCTGTCTTTGAATATTTGGGAAACGACAATGGCGTAGTTGTGTGGAAGTAAATCAGTAGTGTATTGTGTGTTGAATTTCACAAGTATTATATTGGGAACAATCAGTCATTGTGTTTATTATGGTCTGAACTGTGCCAGAGAGTAGTGGCTTGAAGCCAGAATAACAGTTTTTGCCGCGGTGAGGTCAGAGAGAAGCTCCTCGTGGTTGGTACATATGGATTCCATTTGACAGAAATATCAGCTAATGTTCCAAAGGACCATTTTATCGAACTGAATTAACTGAGTTGCACTAAATTTTATTGCGATTAACATAATGTTAACATCATTTTAAGAGAGTGAAACCAAAGGCTCTTGGTTCCATTGAATAAATAGAGCAAAAGCCCCAAAAACACAAGAAAACCAATCTCTCTAACAGGGTGAACAACAAATGTCCTCAGAAATTTGTTTCCCAACTTCCCACTATTATATATATATATATACACACACATCAATATATATATATATATATATATATATATGCATATATATGACACGTTGCAGCTCTATTTTAACAGAACAACAAAACTAGCTTAATTCTGTCTCTGAAGGATCATAAATTTGATGAGCATTGTTCCATCTGTTTCCCCATGTACCAAGTCAAAAGATGGACTTCAAGCCAAGCCAGCCACACTTGTTTCCCCATGCCCCGACCCTTCAGCTTCTATTTCGCCCTTTTGTTCAAATCCGCCTTCTCAAGTATCTCATTTATTCATTTCCTCCCTCCTCTCCCCCACTCAAGTTGTTTCAAGGTCTATCACCACCATAACTTGCCACTCGTACCACAGCTTCAATGAATGCTATTTTCAACAATACAGTAACGCAGTTTGGCAGAATTCATTTGACTATCCAGAGAAACAGCAGTGAAGGCACAATGACAAAGCTCAAGAAGCATGTCAAGCACTCCTACGTATTTTAACCATAATCAAGAAAAAAGAAGAAAAGTTGTTTAAGTTTTTAAAATCTGAAAGACTTCCATCTCTCATTAAAGTTATATGTAATTACCCCCTAAAGTTCATGAGCACAATAATTATTAAAATAGATTCTCATACACATGCTCTAAAATTCACTGCGATGTCCAGCTGTCAATCTTGACTTTCTGTAATCCTAAAGTACCTGTCACTACAACTGACTTAGCCATATACAGATGTCAAATAATACATAAAAGAAAAAGACTGCAAAATAAGGATCAGGTTTTACCAACTGGCTAGTGGCCCATGACAAATTAGCAAATGCATAAAGCCAATAGGTTTACAGGAATTACTAACAATGCAAGACAAAGTCGTGAAGCACGAGCAAAAGAAAAATTTTAAACCCTTCAGCACCACAAAAAGAAACGTCACTAAAACAATATCATAAAAAATGACAATGACTTAATATAGGATTGAATCCAAATGAAACTTATGGCAAACGTTTACCTGTACAATGTCATCCTGAAAAATTCTAGAATTTTGCATCTGACATGTGAACAAAATGTAGTAGTAAACGGAAGAGATAATTTGCCTCATCAACTGATGGAATTGCTCAAGAGTTGTCTCGACCCACCTCTCCCCACCCACTACTGCTTCTTATGTACTTGTCAACAATACCAAATTCTTCATTCTGAGCAATCCTCTGGGCATAATTCTCCATTGAAATAGGGCCCTTTCTAAGTCTCCTATAATAAATGATCTCCCAAGGCCACAAGCGAGCAGAACCAAAGTAAGCCTCCACCGGTTTATCCATTTCATTTTCTTTAGGGTGTTCCAGGCCATAGTGTTTCAGAACCATGTCCAACTCCTCTGGTGATATGCTGGTTAAATTACCTGAGCGGGATTTTACAGAAACTTCCGAGTCAGGCTTTTTAGTTTGTGTCAACATATGTCCCGTCATGAGGACATTTGAATTTTGAAGATCCCTCAACCCTCTCAAACTATGAGGGGACAAACTCGCAGTAGCATAATCACCCTTCTCTAAAAGCGGAGTACCTGAATTTTTCACTTCACGTGGAATCCCAGGCACGCAGTTTGTATCATCATCCATCAGCTTAGGATGATTTTTGTCCATGTCCGCTCCTATCTTGAAGGGTGCTGCTGCATTTTCATTTTCCATTTCAAATGTCATATTTTCAGGTTCATAATTTTCTGAACCTACACCACCATGTACTTCTTGTCCTTGTTCAACCAAAACTATCTTGGATTCAGGACTATTAACACCCAACAAAGAGCCCTTCTGATTCATCTGTGCCTTATTTGTAGAGGATGGCAAAGGTGTGCCTATGGATACAGACAAAGACAAGGATGTAGGAGACGAGGACCTCGACCTTGGCCTGGAGTTATAGCTTTCAGACCTGGAATGTTGTGATGTTGAAACAGACCTTGATCTGGAAGAATGGGAACATGTTCTGGAACTTTCTGATCTTGATTTTGAACCAGAACTAGACCCAGATGGAGACCTTGAGAACTGTGAGTGTGAGTGTGATCCAGATTCAGTATAATCAGAATGTTTAGAAGATGAAACTGGACCCCTTGCTCTCTTCACATGATGTCTTTCTGGAATTCCACTTTCTCTCCTACTTTGCTTCTTTTCCCTATAGTGCTTTCTCGGAGCCTTTCGAGTTCCCTTTCTTATTGGAGAATTCATACTCCTTATCGATCTCCGATGCCTTCTTGAACCAGATGCCTCCTCATCATTCTTGTGTCGCGTCATCAATGCAGCATCTCTACTTAACTGCAGCCTCCGCCAATACTTGCGTCCACGACTTCTCAGATCACCTTCAACTTTTTCCCTAAAATTCATTTCTTCATTTTGCCTACGATCAAAGCTGCTCAACTTCTTTCTCCTGAATGCACTTTCTTGGGGACAATTAAGCATTTTGTGACCCAAATCCCCACAAATGTAGCATGCCTGCTGAGGTTGTGTACCATCTGGACAGTTAAAAGCTGCCTTAACAGTTTGCTCTCTCCCTGTTTTCTCCCGTGACTTTATCAGAGCAGGTGAATCACCTGAAGGGCTCTCCTGATTATTTTCATTCCCATCCCTTCTGTCATCACCACGATAAGGTTCATAGCGATCAAATTCCAATCCGTTTTCAACCCCAATTACATCCAATGGGTCACCAACTTGTTCTTCCCATCTATCATTGTCCAAGAGGTTAGGTTCAAAGCTACCACCTTTTTCACTCAAAGCTTCCCTGAAATTATGGTTTTCTTCCCCTATGTACTCCTTAATATCGTCCTGATGGTAGCTTGTTACTTCATCCATCATATCAGTAGAGTTAAGTCTTCCACCATCACTATCTGGATGCTTGAAACCCTTTCTGTAATCTCGTCGACCATTTGAACCCAGTTTCCGAGTGACATACTCTTCTCCTCTTGCAGATTTCCTTCCTTGCTGTGTCTCGTGAGATCTGAGACCTCTTGCAAATCTCTGCAAGGTGGGTCTCGGCTGCCTGTTTGACCATGAAATCGTTACTGGCTCCCCACAGATGTTCTTGCCCCGAAGTGCTCTCAGGGCTTTCTCTGCATTCGCAGGGAAGTCGTAAACTACAAAACCAAAACCATCTTTCAGCTGTATTTTACACCGCCCAAACCTCCGAAAAACACGTACAAGTTCATCCCTATGAAGGCGGGATGATAGATTACCAAGATGCAAAGACATCTGCACCAAAAGAAACTAAAATCACTTCACATATCTAAAGTTGTATATGATATTAGGAAATTGTAAGCGTAGAAATTGGCTAATGAGATGTATATAGAAATCATGTTTGCACTTTGCAGCACAGGAAAACAGACACCTTGTTGACGGATAATCTGTTAGTATTAAAAGAAAAGAAATCAACTTGTTTTCTACCTAGGTATCATTTCAAAAGGTCCTTTTTCTCTTTCTTTTTTTTCTTTTTTTTTCAGGGGAGGGAGATTGGGTTTGTGGTTGTATTTCAACTGCAGAACACACCAATATCACTAATATTTAGACTAAAGAAGTCGCCAATGTATGTCCAACCGATTATAAAAGAAATCAACTTCTTTTTCCCTATGAAGCGCTTTCTAATACTAAGGGGTAGAGGTTACACATATGACGAATTTCATAATATTTTTATATTTCAACTAAAGAAAATCCCAATATCACTAACGACACACACCTCACTCAACAACAATAATTTACAATCTTTTGATCTCAATATAAATTAAAATATATAACTAACCATTAAAAAAAGTACTCAAATAAATAGGGACATCATGGAACAACATCAAACATGATTGCTTTCAGTATCATTTGTCATCAAAACAAAGCCTTATATCGAAAACATATTACCTCAAAGTGAAAGTTGTGGGGATTGTATGCCCTAAAAGTCAATCCTAGAATAACTTATCAAAAAAAAAAAGTCAATCATAGAATAGAGAGATCTAAATTCATTCGTTTATTATGACTTGAAATGTTTGCAACCGGTGATGAATTTGAGCACATCATCTGCAAAATTTCATATATGACTTCTATTAGACATGGTGTTGTGTCCTAGATCACATAATTCACACATGGGGCTTCCGCTGCCGAGCCCTGCGTGCGAAATTGCGAGTTGGGAGCAAATTCACCCAGAATCCGCAAACTTGATTTATAATGTTAGCGAATTGAGTTTTGCAATTCGCGAATTCTGTGCAAATTTGGGTTCAATCTAACCATCAAGCCTTTAAAGGCTTGTTTGAAGTCTAGACTTTCACGCCCAAAGTCAACTGTGCAACTACTTTTGATCATTTAATGATAAAATAAAAAATAAAAAATAAAAGAGAGATGCACACGTAAGAATTGAACTCACAGCTTGTTGAAAGAAGCTTAAAATACTTACCACTCTATGATCCGCCTCTTTTGCGGCACACGTTGCACAATATTTAAAGGGTCGCGAGCGAAAAACACCCCTATGGTATGCATATAGTGTGTATAACCCCCTATATATTCTAAAAAGTCCCTAACATTCAATTTTGGAGCAAACAAGGACCTGAATACTGAAAAGACTAAAGTGCCCCTCTATAACCGAATAAAAAAATAAGTAAAAAACTAAGTAAATGTGAAATGACTAAACTGACCCTCTTTTCTTTTCTTTTTTTGGATCGGTTCAGTGTATATATATATTTAATATATATATATATAAGGGCATTATCGGAAGGAATAAGGGCATTTTTGGAATTTTATATCTAACAATGATTCAAGTCCTTCTTTGCTCATTTTTCAAACTTAACGGACTTATATACACAACATAAGCCCTTCTTTGCTCATTTTTTCAAACTTAACGGACTTATATACACAACATAAAGGATAGGGTCGTTATTTGCCCAAAATGTAAACATTAGGGGTGTTTTTCCCACTTTACCCATATTTAAATAGAATTACTTCTTATATTTAATTAATAAAATCAATATAGATAAATATATAGTTAAATGTATGATTATATTTAAAAAGTCCTATATTTAAAATATAAAAAAATAATAATAATAAAAAATATATTATAATAAATTAGTATGATACTATATAGTGATTACATGAGAAGTACATATCGCTCTTTAGAACACATAATCAAAATTACTTTCACTTATTTTGATATGTTTTCTTATCTACTAGATGCAATGGCTCTAAATTCTAAGCTATTTACATAGACTCTTCAAAAGTAGGTGAGATATCCGTGTCGGACACATAATACTTAGACGTGTATGGATACGTGTCCAACATTTTTGGTTAAGCATGCACCTGAAAAAATATCCAACAATTCGATTCTACTATATTATGTTTCAAATTGAGTGATAAATACCTATATTAAATAAAGACATTATTTTACTCTAAAAAATAAAATAAAACTATTAAATAATATGAATATTTAGGAGTGTCTTTGCGTCCTCTATTTGGGGATTTGACATGTCCAAACTCCAAAGCTCAAATATATACCTACAATGTACCCAAGTCATTATAACACAAATCCTAAGAGATTTGGTTTACTCAGTTGTTGATATTAGTTGCTTTAATTTACCAATGTGTAAGACTCGTGTGGGGTACAAATACTCAATATGGAATTCCACACTCCATCTGAGAGTTAAATATCCCCTTGACTTGATTTAATTAAGTTGATCGTTGAGTTAGTGGTAGCATGTATTTTAGTAAAATATTATTAAAATGGAAATAACTGAAGCTATAGCCCTAAATAAAGGGGAATGAAAATATAGGATTCTAGTTGCCGACCTAAAGTAGTTAAGAAGAGGCTTTGTTGAGTTGAGAATTGGCTAAAACGGATTCTGCAACCAACAGGCCTGTGGCCTAGCGATATAAGGCTCCTACTTCCCAAAGGGAGGTCAGGAGTTCGAACCTCAGTGGAGGCAGTGTGTGTGAGTCTCAACTAGGAAAAAAAAAAAAAAAAAAAAAAAAAAAAAAAAAAAAAACGGATTCTGCATATTCTATGTATAAATTATTTATACCTGAATTTTTTTTGTGAAAATAGTTTTTATTTAGTGATCATAACAATTATATTGGGTTCTAAGGAATATGATATGTAAGTACAGTATTTAATTTTCCATCGCGTCTTTACAAATATCAAATAGTTGAGGGATTTATTTGACAATATTTAGTAGGACGGGACTTTAATGTAATTTTCTTGACCCTAAAGTGCAATTACAAAAAAATTATGATTACTTCTAAAATTAATTATATTAAGAAAGGGTTAAGATTAGCTCAAAATTTCTCAAGTCCAACTAAAGCTAGGGATTAGGATTCCCTATTAGACCCCAGTTCCCACCTCTAGCCCAAGTAGCATTCTATATAACGTAGTATGTACATGATCATAAATATTTTTAGGGTTGACTGCAAAAAAAAACACCCCACTGAAGGACTATTAGCTAGTTGCAAAATAGGTCCCCTTTGTTGCAAATAACTCTGTAAACTATTAACAGAAACAATACCAGAGAGATATTTGCAACAGCTTTGAAAATTCTTAGAGCTTTTGTTGAATAAATAGTGTAGGGGTTTTTTCTTTTTCAAATCGATTGATAGTTAAATGAATTTTTAGCAATTTAGCTTAAAGGTATAATGGTCATAAAATAAAAAATACTAGCCATCCATCACACGTGACAACTTTTTTAAACCACAATTTGGCGGCAGGGGACGATTTGAAGGATTAGTCTAGTGAAGTTTTCTGCAAGAAGAGTGATATATGTGTGTGTGTGTGTGTGTGTGTGTGTGTGTGTGTATGGGGTTGTGTGTGGTTTCGGCAAGGTGTTCAAGGGTGCATTAGGAAGCCATAAAGTGTTCCCTTAAATTGAACGCACATCCAATAAATTTTTAAGAAATCACTTTCGTTTCCTTCAAATATACAGTGTCAAGTCAAAGCAAATTTTAGTTTTTTTTTTATCTGACAAACACTAGGGGGAGGGGGACTCGGGGACTTGAACACAGGCACACCCGCAACACACTCCCTCTGCGGGAAGCTCTACTAACTAGGCCACACGGTAATGCCCCAAAGCAAATTTTAGTAATAAGCTAAAAGTACAAGGTATAATATCAGTCTATGAAAAAATCTAACACCTAGATTCTTCAAATTTGATGTTCATGAATTAGAGGTGCAAAGAGAAAATTTATCAAACAGCTGATAGCATAACTAAAACCACCCAACAAGCAACATTTCACACTCTCTACGCATAGTAAAGTTTTTTGTAGTTGCATAGATTTGTCAAACATGATAGAATCACATGAACAAAACCCTATCATATAACCAAGCCACTGTTTTAAAGTGACAGACAAAAGAGGGGGAGAGGAGAAAATCAAGAACGTCACGTACCTGTAGTTGATTACAAAATCGAGAGTGATAGTTTGATGAACCTAAGAGCGCGCTCTCTCTCTCTCTCTCTAAAAAGTTCGAATCCGCATAGCACGGCAGCGATATTTTATCACTCCTAGCATCTTTAGTTGAGACTGGACCTGAGACGCGTTAATCTGCACAGATGCACCTACGAAGAAATACTAGTCTGGAAACCTGGAAGACGGATACGGACAGATTTTTCATTAAAAAATCCATCCTTATCAGGGCCAACTTGGTCATGATGGATTAGTGCCCCATACAGACACTTGTCTAAAATTAAAAATAATAATAATAATAATACTAATACTAATAATAATGCTCGCCTTCGTCCAAAAATAAATAAATAAACGTCCAACTGAAAATCTAAAGTATTATTTTTTATACCATTACTAATTTAACCTCTTTTTATTAAATTTATAAAAAATAAATTATCATATTTATGTATTTGTCAATTCATTCACTGTCACTGTAATAAAAAATACTACCAATGGCAATTACAAAAACTTAAGCATTTTCCAAGAGTCACGTCACTATTTTGGACTATCCAAATTTTAACTTCTTTTTTTTTTTTTTTAATTAAGCTGGGTGTCCGAGATGACACGAATTCTTAGGACTCCTTAACAACCCGACTAATCTCCGAGAACCCGAAAGGGCGCCTCCCCACCTGAGCCGGGTAAGTCACTACAGAAACAACGGAGACTAGTCACAAAGAATACCCAGCGGGACTCAAACCCCAAACCTTGGACTTGCAAAGTTCCAAAGTTCAGCTATTAAACTGCTGGGCCATATCTGAAGTGGATCCAAATTTTAACTATTGCATGTGCTCCAATGGTGCATTTTTGTACTCCAAAAATAATGTTTTTTTAATATTTTTTAACTTTTCCCTAAACGGCTATATTTCTAAGAATTCTATTTGAGTGAGCATCAGTATTTATTGTAGATGTGAAAACAAAGGCAAATTTTTTGAACAAAAAAAAGGGTAATTTGCACTCATGTATTCCTTAAAGACAAGTAAATACGACCTTAGGTATTTTTTGGACAATGACACCCCCCAAATCTGGTAAACCGAACAAAGACACTCAACCATGATGAAAGTACATATTTACCCTTTGACCACCTAAAATGATAAAACTAGCCTCAGTCAATATACACCGCATGTATACATTCTTCTATTTACCCCAACAGCACCCACCATTGCCACCGTCACCCACCCTTTAATGAGAAACCCACTATTACCACTACAACCTCCACTTTTCACTGCCACCACCCACCATTGTCACCACAATATAAACCACATATTTAGTTTTTTTACTATCCATACATAAATTGAATTGGGTTGAATCAAACATACATACATATGTGTGTGTGTGCGCGCGAGCGTGTGCATGTGTTTGTGTGTGTGTGTGTGCATACACACACACCACACCACAGCAAATCTATTTTAGTCAAGCTCTTCAACAATCCTCCCGTACTGGTACACAATCGCAATATCCAATTCATTTTCTTCTCTGGGTTGTGAGCTACATTTAATGAATTGATTTTGGTAATTTTTGTGTCTTTAGGAGAGGGTTTATTTTTTAGCAACTAGGAGTTGTTTAAAAATAAAAAAGAAAAAAGAAAAGAGTACTGGTAAACTCACTTTTGATTTCCTTTGACTATTATGTGCATATGGTCGGCAAATGAGATGACTGGTTTTGCAATTATACTTGGCCATAATTGAGTGGACCCAAAAAGTTTTGAAGTTGTTTTTTGTCCGTTATTTTATTTTTTTGCTGGCAAACAAAAATATTTTATGAACATTATAGCAATAATTACATGAAGAGGAGCACACTTAAAGCAGAGAGACAAATACATTGATCTTTGAATGTTACCTTCCTAATATGCATTACCATGGGAAGACTTTAAGCTTTTGTATTACGGTAACAGACTATAAAAAATGGCATAATGTTACTAACAACATCCAAAAGCTAGGCATGTTTTATCTTCCACCGCAGTATATAACATCATACCAGACGTAGTGTCCCATCCCAACAGCATTCTAAGATCAAAAACCATGGCAGCCCATAGCACTAAAATATCTCCACCTTGTACAACAACATCACCTAATGATAGATTATGTGTAACAGAGAGAACAAAGTCCTCTGGAAGAAACTGAATCCACCAATCCGTAAGAACATGACTCCGGGAAAGCTGGATAACAACATTAACCACCTCGCATCTCTGTCCATAAATAGAGTTAACCCAAGCCTAGGGGAGAACCTGGAGTGCCATATGGATATCAAAGTGACAAGAAAGAAGCGCCATCAATACACAGCATAAGGCAGCCTCATAAAGACATAGCACCGCTACCAAGATACCAGCAACAACACCTTTCAAGATAAATTCCGTATAACTCTTAAAAACTTTTCCATTGCCTCCAGAATACATGGGAATGAATAAGAGGCATTCTTGATACGTTTTAACTCAAATAAACCAGGACCCAACGTAAATCTGCCAACCGACAAGGAGAGAGAACCAAAGAACCCTCTACAAAATGTAGATAACCAGAAAGTCCATTTGGGAGGTAAGCCATCAAACCATTCAAAGCCATATCAAACGGACCAACAGTGAGAATTAACTCAGAATGGGCCTCATCAACCCCAATAATAGACCCTAAAGGTGGCACTTAAAGGCATTAGGTGAAGCGAGTTCATAAAAGCTCCCAAGCAGGCACTGGCACAAAATATCTCTTTCTTTGCGTTTCCCTTACGCAAGGAAAATAATAAAAGGAAATGATGTGATTGTGGGCCCAAATGCAGACCATATGTTGACGAAAACAATACACGTGGTTGATTGAACAAAGCTACAAAGAAGGGGATATTGACGTTGATTAGATGGAGACCGGCAACGGTAAGGAGTTCTTCAACGCCGGCACCATCAACAGGCACCCAACAATAAACTGGAAAAACTCCTAAAATTGCTAGACACCATGGTTCCTCCTTGTACCCTTGTTCAACGTAGGGCTGCAACTCGGGCGGGTTGGGAGGGTTGGAGACTTGATTCGGGCTCAGCCCATGTAATACCCTTAATTTTAAAAAAGATATTCCTGGTATTTAATGGTATTTAATTTATTATTTAAGTGCATTTTATTTGATTATGTGTCATTATTTTTTTTTATTAGGTGCTTAATTGTTTTCTTTTGTGGTGATTTAATTTTAGTTATTTGATTGGAATTACTTGTTAGTATTTTAATTATTTAATTGGCATTAATGGTTTAAGTGTAATTGGTTTAGTTATTTGATTGGAATTACTTGTTAGTGTTTTAATTATTTAATTGGCATTAATGGTTTAAGTGTAATTGGTTTAATTATTCTATGTGTATCTTATTTGGTTTAATTGGGTTTACTAATTATTATTTTGTTCAATTAGATTATTTGTTAAGTATTTAATGGTGAATAGGGTAATTAGGTAAATACATCTAACTAGGGTTTTAATTACAGTATAAGATCGAAAAGCTAGGCTGGATCCCCTAACATAGTCAATTCCTCCATGACAGCTCTGTCTTTTGCAGTTGTTCTTTCTGAGAGAGAGGCTACTTCGCCTGGGAGCCGGTGACGAAGCTTGGAAGAACAGCCACATGGAGCAGGCTTACGACTTTCTGCCAATGCCAAGCTCTGAGATTGACATAACTTTCCCGTCTTCCTCACCTGATACGGAAAGAAGAGTAGGGATATGACTCGGACTGAAGAGACCGTTTTATATTATAGCCGTCGTAGGTTTCTACGTTAATTGGATGGGCCGGTTAGGATTGTGAGTTGGACTTAAATGAATCTAGGGTTTAGGAAAACTCTATAAGTATAAGGTAGACGTCTGTGTAGGGTTTTTTTAAACAAAGCACACGTTTTGTGGAAGTGGAGAAGGAAAAATGCTGTTTTTCACATTCTGCCAAGGTTTGATCAAAGCTCCGATCCCACTTCGTCCATGGTCCGATCGAGCTGAATTTTGGAGGAGAGGTTCACGACTCAGTGACGCACAATCTGAACGGTGGAGATCAGAGTTTGACCTCGGGAACAGTGATTCATACTCATAAACAGTAACTGGGTCGCACAGGTTTTTTTTCCATTCTGCCCAGATTTCATCAAACATCCGATCCCGCTTCGTCTGTGGTCCGATCGAGCTGAAATTTGGAGGATAGGTTCATGACTCAGTGTCGCACAATATGAACGGTAGAGATCAGATTTTGAGTTCAGGAATAGTGTTTCGTACCCGTGAACAGTAACCGAGTTTTGGAACTCGCCGGGATTTTTTAAGAAGACGACGTTGAAACTTTGAACAAAAGTTTCTGAGGCAAGATTTTATCCTTACTCTTTCCCTTAGGCTTCATACTCTTTGCACTCTTAAATGATTCCAGGATTAATGAAGATTAAACCAAACTAAAATGATATCTGTTTTGCTATGAAACTGGTAGTTACAGTAGTGTTGTATGCTTGTTCAACCTAGACTAAGCATGTTTGTGGATGCATTGTGGTTCTGTGGTTCACGTTTTTCCTTACCACTGCTAGTATAAATTATTGGAAGGATGGGTCTAGATGATAGCTATCTTAACTTCTGTAATAGCAACTGTTAGAACTTAAATACTAGGAGGATTTGAGTTTAACACTAGATCGGTTTTGTGGAACACTATAATTTAAGTATGTCTACATACATACTGTGAATATTGTTTTAATGCTTACATTATCACAGTTAGTATCAACTGTGGAGGTTAGGATTTTGTGATACATACCCTACATATCTGTATGTCATTTGTAAGGTGTTAAATGGAAGTTTTAATTAATTCTGTCTTTATATCAGATTAAATGGAACAACTTAAATTGGGCATGTATATGTTGTTGTTGTGACCCTGTTTATCAATGCTTATTTTATCACTGCTAACATTGAATGTTGGATGTTGGAATTTAGTTGATATATACTTGATTTATTGGTATTATTGACTACTGGAGGATTGGAAAGTAGGCACCGGTATGGGACAGTGGCATACTAAGGATGGGTTTGGTTTTTAAAACAATACCATTACCCACCTACTTGGAATAAGGATGGGATTAACTAAAAGTTAAGTCCCGTGGATTTGTATTGTCATGGCAACTACTTGTTGAGCGGCAATACCAGGGATTTTGGATGGATTTTATATATGTACTGTTATGGTGCCTCGGTATGAACTTGAGCCTCAGGACCGATGGCTAGGGAGCGTAT